TGTGGGTTTCATGACGGTCGTCTGGCAGGAGCCGCTCGAGCTCCCGGGCTGGAGGGCCGGTGGCTTACAGGCCTTCACCCGTTCACCCCTGCATTAGCTGTTGAGATGCGGAGTTGCCAATCTATTAATAAACTGTCGGTATCAAAGCTAGAGATTTAAAAGCCAAGGTTAAGTGGGAAGGTTAAGGTGAAAGTTTGAGGTGCCGTATCCAGGAAAAGCTGTGTTGTCGCTGACCTAATGAAGGTAAACTTCCCTTGCAAGGCAGTGCTGGCGGGAGAGTGCATTGCTGGGTTACGTGAAAGGAGAAGTGTGGAGAAGCATGGGTCCGTTACATGTGTCCACCAATGCTGTGCTTTATCACCTTGCCTATAAGATGGCTTCTTGTCTTCTTGTCTATTTTTGGATTTTCTTCTAAACCCTTTGCTTGCAACCCTGTGCATTAATCCCCATGTTTTTCACCGTCTGATTGTACATACTGCTTTTTCTGTCCCGGGGCATTTGCCTCATGGATTCTCTGCTCTCTGTTCTTCCCCCTGCCTTCTCCCTGCTCACTGTGTCCTAACCCACCTCCAGTATAAACCTCAGGTACTATGAGCATTCCTACAGGCATTGTAGAGCCAGGCGCTGGAGAAGATTTGGGAACTGCTGCCTTGTACAAGGGCAGGGTATTGCCCATCAGCAGGTCAGCGTTAGTTACCTGTGTGGAGGCTCTTACTGCACAGCTCAGGCTGTGGGTTTTGGTCATTCTTCCTATAAATATGCTCTGGTGAGCTCTTTCTTCATCCTGGCCTGCAAATACTAATTTCTGTGCGGTCTGCAGATTTTCTGAGCCTCCCTTTATGAGGAAAGTTGAGAATGTAAAGAGAGGTACATTTGCAGGATAGTTTTTAGCAAGAAATTCTTTGCGGTGTAGTTGGATAAGTTGGGTATGTAATACTCACATTTTTCATGCAAGTGCTCATAAAAATGTTACATTTGAGTAGGGAACTGAGACTTACAGTTGCATCAGCACAAAAAATGGAGCAAAAACCTGATCACTGTTTTAAAGGTTGTACAATATATAATATAGATGAAGTGATTTTAGTCTCTTTTTTCTGTTGGAAAAGGAAACTGGTGTCCCTGGCTTAAGAAGTTGATGGTTTGTTCAAGTACAGGGAGGCCTAATACATACTGTTCATCAGATCTTGAGCAAATCAGTCCTTGTGTCTCTTTTCCTGCTGGTAAACTGGCACTCATACTGCTTTTGTGTATAAAGTGCTTTGAGAGCTGATGATGGAAGGGCATTAAGTAAATCTTTCGATTTAGATGAAGGGGAGGATGCCAACAAGTTGCTAAAACTTGTGTTTTATTTGAGGTGGTTCAGTGACTGGACTTAGAACTTTCACTTTACAAATTACTGATAACAGTACAGTAATTAGTGATGGTCTTAAACTGGTATTCTCCTTTCCTACAGCTCTAAGCTTTAAAAGAAGCCTTGTCTTGTATATTCCAGTTGAGAATTGCTCCCTTAAGGGCTTGTATCTCTGCATGCCTTAAGGCAACTGAAGTGATTGTTTTGTTTTCCAGAGCTATAAGAATGTGAACATAATGGCTGGTGGTTTCAATGTATATTGTCTTTTTGTATTGTTTCTTTTTCTGAACTGTCATTTCAGGAAAATGATCTCTATAACTTTCATTTTGATTTGGATTTGATGTCTTGGGACTCAGATCTTTGGAATATTACAGGCCATGCTTATACAGGTAATTTACCTTTTGTATTTTACAGGTGTGACTGTTCCCCTCCCCCACCCTACAAGGGCGAGCTGTTACAACTTTAGGATAGTGGTAACTTATGTGAAACTATTTGATGTCCTGCAGCGTTTAGCTCTGTGATGAGAAGTCATGCTGTGTTTCTGTAGGATGGGTACAGCTGGCGAGGACTGGCCTACAAGCTAAGCTGTCTAGTATCTTTAATCTTGCTATGTTTTCTGCTGTGCCTTGCTTCAGGAATTAAATAGCTGGTGTAGGTTAGTGTGTCCTTTACTGATCTCCCATTGTTAAACACTTGTACAGTAAATTTTCTTTTCTGCCTCTTGCAGATGCAAGTATGAAGACAGAGCCCTTATCACCAGCTACTTCAAATTGTTCGGTCCCTTCTCCATCGTCTGTGGACTCTCCAGTGCAGAATGTGCCTGTATGCAGAAACCTCCATGTAACACAGATAGCAGCAGTCATTCAGAACCGTCTGTGACAAACAAAAAGCCCAGTGATTTACTTGTCTGACCAAATTCGTGGCATAAGAGGAAACAACTTATTTTTTCAACCCTTAAAAAAACAACTTCCCTTCAGTGATGTTTTCCTTCCTCTCCTGCTGTGACCCATTCTAAAAAGAGCATGTTCAGTTCTGTTTCCTCAGTTCTGTGTTTTGGCCTGGTTGCCAAGCAAAATGCCTTCTAAAGTCTAGCAGTTGCTGGCCTCTGCCCCCCTTCACTCTGCTGATAAGGAGAGGTACTTCTTTGGTTTTCAGTGGTACTTAGCATTGAGCAGAATAAAACTGCAAAACAAAACCTTTCTCCTCTTTGCTGAAGCAGCAAGAGAGATGTGATGAAAGGCTGTTATACTCTGAACTGCTACTAGACACTTTTATGTGTTTCTGAAGCATTAATCTCATGTACTTTCTGTCTGCAGGATGATGTGGACTTCAGCTGTAGCTCCCAGATGTCTCCCATCTCTCTCTACAGCAAGAGCTGCAGAAGCCCTGCATCCCCCGAAGGAGATGGAGGGAAGAAGCCTGCTGTCAGCATTACTTCTCGGTCTGGTATGAAAGATTGAGTTACTTTGATTCTGCAGATAGTATGCGTATTGTCTTGCATACGGATGTTTAACTAACAGACAGTAGTATGTCCTGTCATTTCTGACTTGAATTTGTGGTCGGATATGTCTACTTCTAACGATTATTATGGACGGGTAAAAAAAAAACATACTGAAAGCCATGTTATTACTGCTTGAATTCTTTTATTTTATATCTTTTGGTCCAACTCTGACTCTTTTTCCTTTCCTAGCAAATAATTCTGCAAGGACCCTGAAGAGGTGTGGTCAGACAGCATCCAGGCCTTCGATACAACCCAAACGCCTTTTGCCTGCTGTACCTGAGGCTCAGGCAAACATTGGCATCCCAGCTAAAACCATCATTATTCAGACTCTTCCCACGCTTGTGCCACTGCCAAAGCATCAGCCAGTTGTTAACATCCAGCCAGCACCTGCTAAAGGTAGGTGAATTGTCATGACTGAGCCAGGTCTTGGGGGTAAACACTATGTCTGGTTGGGATAGTCGCTAGAATGAAGTTAGCTTTGGTGGGTGAAAAGGGAGGGGTGGGAAAAAAAAGAGGGGTCCTACACACTTTGCTGAAAAAGCTTTGGGCTGAGAAGATGGCCTTATTCCTCTCTCATACAGTCCTGTGAGAAACAGCACTCACCTGGGCATTGTGTGCGATGGAAGACAGTATAGCAAAAGAGACTATGCTGAGCACTGGCAGCTGTGGAGGTAAAACTGCTGATTTAGAAGGATCTCTAGGGACCCTTTGCTCTACTTGTGATGGCAAGTGGAACATAAGGTGATTACAGTGCTATTCTGTCGTAACCAAAAGAGGATCCAGCAAAATCAGTTAGGATGGCTTGAGTGAAGCTTGAAAGCTTGGGAGGAGTGATAAAAGCTTTTTTTACCACATGAAACTCTGTCACAGGATGGTGGGAACATGAGTTTATGGCTTTTTATCTCACTAAACAGCATTAAATAGGATGTTGTGAAATCTGCTAAGAGTTAAGAGAGCCATGTCAGAGGTTAGAACAGTTGCTTACAGCTGCAAGCTGACGTTAACAAGAGGCAAGTGACTTCCTGTCCATTGACAATTCTTCATTCCTCCTGTTGTCCTGTAACAGATTTTTGAATTAGCTTACGCCTTCATTTCCGAATCTCAAGTGTTATTTTACTCTTCAGCTAACGCAGTAGGGACATTACTTGCATTGCTGAAATTGTCAGATGCAGTTGCTTGTTTTCACCAGCTGATGGCTGCAGTCTTTTGTGGTTGACTGTACAGGCGCTGAGGCGCAGCAGGAAAAGGAGACAAATACTTAAGGGCATGTGTCTAGAAATTATTGCAATAGTGAAAAATTTGTCTTCATTACTAATTGCTCTTCCATCAGGAGTTAAGCCAAAGCTGGAGACGCTGACATTTGTTACAACATGCCTAAGATTGTTGGACTGCTTAAAACACAGGTTAGCACAGTCAGCGTGACCTAATTCTTATTCCTTCTGATGTTCCAGCTGATAAAATACCATCTCGAATAAGGAATATTGGGGATATGGATTTTTTGGATATAACTATAGTACTGTGAAGATCAGCTTCTCCTTTTCCCTGAAGAAAAGTCAGGAGAGTAGTTTTTGTGAGGCACTATAGAGGAAATACTTTTGGGAAAGTATTTCCATGCCATGTATTTACTTTAACTGATGGTGTGTTTAAAAATTCTATAGTGCTGCTTCCATAACAAAAACCATAAGGATCTTTTTCGTTAATCAAAATCCCTTGCACATGACAAGTTGGAGCTACCAGTTTGAAATATGCTATTATCTTCAAAGGAGCATGAGGAATGATATTTTAACAGTCCCTTTCATAAAAGCTTAAAGAAGAAAGCATGATCTTAGAGCATCACATACTTTATGCATTAAAAAAAAATCATAGAATCATTAAGGTTGGAAAAGACCTCTAAGATCATCGAGTCCAACCGTCAACCCAACACCACCATGCCCACTAAACCATGTCCCTAAGTGCCTCATGTACACGTCTTAAATACTTCCAGGGATGGTGACTCAACCACTCCCCTGGGCAGCCTGGTCCAATGTTTAACCAGTCTTTCAGTAAAGACATTTTTCCTCACATTCAATCTAAACCTCCCCTGGCGCAACTTGAGGCCATTTCCTCTTGTCCTATTGCTAGTTACTTGGGAGAAGAGACCAACACCCACCTCGCTACAACCTCCTTTCAGGTAGTTGTAGAGAGCAATGAGGTCTCCCCTCAGCCTCCTTTTCTCCAGGCTAAACAACCCCAGT